CGAGTTGGCCGTCCCATTGGTGCCGCCGCCTCTCCCCGTCTGCTAGGGTTGAGGACCGCCGGGTCGTCTCCGTTGTGCCACCTTCCCTCCGCCAGCAGGTACCCCCCCCTCCCGCCTCTCTCTCTCTCTCTCTCTCTCTGACCGGCTCCTCCTGTTGACCAGGTCCTGCTCCTCCGGCGGCAAGCCGGCAAGGTGCTCCAGCGGCAACGCCGGCAAGGTGCCCCTGCTGGTCCCCTCCTTCTCTGCAACAACAACAGCAACAACCAGGTCGATTCCACAGCTCCTCAACAAAGAACCACTTCAATTTGTTCTCTGTACGACTATACATTTTCGGTTCAGTTTCAATTTGTGAGAGGCGAGTGACGCTTTGTTGTTTGGCTTTGTCGTGGATGTGGAGCGGTGCTCCGGCGGCGCTCATGCCAAGCGCCGGTTATGAATGTTGCCATCGGTAGTTGCATCTGTGGAGCTTGGGCATTAGTTGAATTCACGCTTACAGCTAGCTGTTCATAGCTACAGAATTGCAGAGTTCCATCCAACAGTTTGCAAACTACTGGAAACAATATCACGTGGAAAATTATGTCTAGTTAAAGAGCAAACTTGCTATTCCATAATACCTGGATGGTACTCATCCTCGAAACCTCTTTACATCTTTCGACGATTTTGCGCATTCAGCACCTCTGCTAGTTTACTGCCTTCTCATAAGTTGTCATGGTCAATTTCTAGCATGAAGTCTGTTCTGAATCTCTGATGCGTAACTTTTCTCATTGTTGTACAAACTATAGGGAGTGGTATTCTGTATTCAAGTTTTTCTTTATGTACTAAGGAGTACTAAGATAAGTCAATAGCAATATCCTTCACCCATTTTTTCCTAATAGCTTCTCAGTTGGCCAATGTTTTATTTCCTTTCTGCAGTGATTTATAAGCGCTTTTTAATGATTTACCGAACAAGGTACTAAGATCATTTAAAAATAGAACCACTTTATCAGTCACTCCATTGATGTGATTGAAAACTGTTATTCCTTCACAAAATAAGCAGTGCAAACTTTGGCTCATATTGATCATGGCAGCAGCAAATTGTATGATGATTTGTTGTGTAATTCATTTGGTCTGCACATGTTCGTCATTTAAATCACATACTGGGCTGGACAGCGGACTGTTTACCACTGATTCTTACTATTTTATACTCACATTGTAGCTTCATAATGGTTATTTTGCCATAATAAGATTGGGATGATTGTTGAGATATGAGGCGTGAACTTCTTTATGTAGACTATGCTCTATAGCACTTTAATGTCGGCATATGTACGTTGTACTAAACCCAACATCTTCTTATCCTGTCGGCAGAGGAACTAAAATAAAATAAAATGTTCTTAGCACTCCTATGACTTCTTTTTATGCTCTGGACCGTTATGCAGGGTTTTCTAAATTTTGATTGTTGAGATAAGAAGGAAGTACTTAGTTAGTGGACCTTATCAACTAAGAAAAAATATTTTGCATGTTCAGAGTTTGGGACTGAAAATTTTAAGTCAATTTTTTGCCATGTAGATTATCGAACCTTGATGTTGGTTGATCTATTTTGAGATTTGAAATCCAAAACATTTATTCCCAGTGATTTTGTCGTTTATTTTATTTTACATGCATTAACTTTTACTGCTACTAGTACTAGTATTAACCTGCTTGCACCTTGCATCTGCATTCACAGGCCACGCACCAAGGACGGGAAAAACACACCAACCCAGACCACTCGACCGATCGATCAGTCACTATAGTAATTACTCACTAGTAATTTGAGGCATGTCTACATCAGAGGGTTCGGAGAGTGTTGATTCCATGGATGAGAATACGAGTCAAGTACCACATGCTAGAAGGTCCAAGGTATGGGAGCATTATGAAGTAGATCTGGTTCTCGTAGATGGTGATTTCAAGGCTGTGTGCAAATACTGTGGAGCGCAACTTCACACCAAGTTTGGGACTAGCAGTTTGAGGACCCATATTGCAGAGGCTTGCCGATCAATTCAGGAGGCTTGCAGGAAGAGGTTTTTGTTGACCGAAAAGAAAACCATCCGAAGGTCTGTTTGTGTTTGATGAAAAAGTTTGTCGTGAACTCATGGTCAAGTATTGCGTCCATGCTGAGATCCCCTTTCTTAAGTTTGAAGATCCCCACCTTCAGCCATGGATTGACTCAATGCAGCCAGCGTTTCAAATCAAGGGTCGTCACACAATTCATGATGATGCAGTGAAGATGTATAAGGGAATGAAGAAAGATATTGAAGTAGAGCTAGAAAATTTGGATTCTCGCATTTGCTTAACATCTGACATGTGGACATCATCACAGGACTTGGGCTACATGTGCATCACCGCCCATTATATCAATGCAGAATTCAACTACAAGAAGACCATAAGTTTCGCAGAAGTGAAGTATCCCCACACAGGCTATGCGATAGAAGAAGAAATAGTTCGTTGCTTAACAGAATGGGGCATAAGGGGCAAATTATTCACTTTGACACTAGATAATGCCAGCAATAATACTAATGCATGTGAGGAGTTAATAAAATATCACAAACATGAGCTGCTCCTTGAAGGTCAACATTTGCATGTCAGGTGTTGTGCGCACATTCTTAATATCTTGGTTCAGGATGGAATGAAAGTAATCCATGAAGCTATTGACATGATACGTGAACTGCTGAAGTATATTGACTCTTCTCCTTCAAGACTTCAAGATTTCAATACAATTACAAGTGGGATGGGTCTATGTGCAAAGAAAGGCATCTCTGTTGATACACCAACCAGATGGAACTCAACCTGGAAAATGCTTGTAGATGCATTGACGTACAAATCTGTCCTCACTTGTTATGCCAATAGAAAGATGATAGAGTCTCCAAGTGAGGAAGAATGGGAGAAGGCAAAAGCTATTTGCGAGTTTCTAAAAGCTTTTGAAGAACTTACCTTGATTGTTTCAGCTCACAGGAAGCCAACTTCACATAAGTTTCTGCCGGTTGTGCTTTCTATTCGCCATGCATTGAAAGATCCGGGTTGGCAGACCTCTGATGTGTTGAAGGAGTTGGCGACAGTGATGCAAACGAAGCTCGATAAATATTGGGATCCCGAGGAGAAGGAGAATGCAGATCCTAACCGTCGTAGAAAAAGCAAGGGCATTGAGTTTAACCATGCACTTGTCATTACTACATTCCTTGATCCAAGGAGGAAAGAAGATTACTTGGATTTCTTCTATTGCAGGTTGTCCACCAACGAGGAGCAGATTACAAAACAAGTGGAGATTGCTTTAGAATGGGTGAGAAAGTATGTCAAGGAATATGAGCTACTTGCAACGATAAGCACTGCACACTCGACACCTTCTAGTCAAGGCAATACCACTATTGGATCACCTATTGCAGGGAAAAGGAAGTTGGAAGAAGAGTTTGCCCAGCACAAGTCTCGTCGGAGGTCACGTGTACACAAATCCGAGCTTGATGCGTACTTGGAAGAAGCATCCGAGAAGGCCGGTGATGACTTTGATGTCTTGGGTTGGTGGAAGAGGCATGCCGAAAAGTTTCCTATATTGGCATCTATGGCCCGTGACTTTCTTGCAATTCCTTTGAGCACAGTGGCATCTGAATCAGCCTTCAGTTGTGGTAAGAGGATACTAGGCGACAAGAGAAGCTCTTTGAACCCTGATATGCTAGAAGTGCTTGTTTGTGCTAAAGATTGGTTGTTCAAACCAAAGGAGGGTGAGCTAACCAATTACATTTTGGTTCTACTACTTGTGTAAAATGTGATATATAAAACTTGCAGCATATAAGTGTTCATATGCCTTTAAATTAATCCTTTGTTTCATTTGCAGGAGATGGACAGTAAGCACACGGCTAAAAACTTGAAACCAAGAAAAGGTAAAAATGTGATCCTGATCATCGATTTGCCTTTGCCTTGCTCCTTTTTCCGTTATAGTGATTGGACAAGCAAAACCACTGTCGCTAAGCGAGTAAACATTGCCAAGACTAGTATGTAGAACTATTGGACTTTGGTTTGATATGACACTCTTGACAAGTGAGTGATGAATAAAGGAGTGATGAATCAGCTAGTCCATAGGCATGTCATAAGTTCATTGAATTTGTTGGCTGGAACACAGCCGGGTCTTGTTGCCCTATTTCTTCCTCTGTTCTTGTAGGAATGTGTGTTCATTTCATCTAGCACGTAATAAATCCACCAAAACCTGTAATAGGAGTTGCCGGCACTATTTTTCGTTGATATATATTCTAGGCTTCCAGTGATAAGCAAGTGTTTTCGAAGTGAAATGATGTCCATGTTATTTTGCAGGTCATGGCCATTCTCATGTTCTCGGGTGCTTGTGTCGCGGCCAGCGTGATGATCTTTGTCATGAAGGATGTGAACTTCTGCGCCGAGTACTAGCGGCCGCCGTGGCCATGGCCAAGCTTGTTACATAGATTGTCTATTTGATAGCCCATCTTTGTTTAGATGATGTGGATTCCTGATGCTCTGGTTACTTGTGTTGTTTCTTTGTTAATTTCATTTCGTCAGAGGTTGACTTGATGCTCAATTCTGAATATGAGTCCTTTGTAATGTATATTCAGTTTGAGATGTCATTGTCAAACTCCAGTTGAGTGAAGCAGTAAGTTGGTTCAGTGTGCTTGTTGTGTTTTGGTTGATTGTTAATATAGTGCTTAACCCATTTAATCAAACGGTTCTGAACCTATTTATGTAAACAGTTTCAACCCATGGTTGAAGCCTTGGTTCAGTTTGGTTTGGTTAAAATTCCCAGCAAGTTTGGTTTTGGTTGGGTGTCAAGAGAGCTATCGTGGGTTTAGTTTAGGTTCAAGTGTCAAGCTAGCTCACGTGAGTTTGGTTGAGTTATGGTTCAGGTATCAAACTTTTCTCAGATTTACCCACAGGCGCCGGCAAGATAAGGAAGAGGACATGGTTTCAAAAAACACAAATGTAGGACACTATATCTGACACTCACCCGATCAATTATATGTTATCCTGCACCTTCATCTAGACCATTGCAAATTTATTTTGAATTTGCTAGCACTAATTCTTCTATGTAAAAGCAAAAGAAGTAAAGTTATTCAGTTTGTACTTATGCGTTCCCAATCTACTGTAAATCAACAACATTAAAAGGAGAATCTAACCTGCACTGTTATAGCACTTTTTCCTCATATAATATCATAAAATGCCCTTCCCCTAAGCATCATATATTCAGAAAAGAAAAAGGAAAGGTCAGAACTAAATGGAATACAAACAGAGTACAAAATAAAATGTAAGTTCATGATCCACCTAGTGTCACCTTCTTGGGTGTTTCATGTCCAGTGGTTGCTCCAGTAATTCCTGAAAGTCTGAATCAAAACTAAGAAATCAAACTCATAGGTGGGGAAAAGGAAAAACTATGGAGCAAGTAGAGAGATTTGGAAAGGAGAAAAAAAAGGTGGAAAGAACCCTACCTGGTAATCCATAGAGGGAGAGGAATCCCTGTGGAAGGGGAGGCTCAACCTGCACCAGCGTCATGGGCTGCACGCGTTCAGCCTCTGCCATTCCCCACCGTGCAGCAGCTGCTTGGAGCTAGGTTTGTGCGTGCAGGGATCCCATGGCCCAGCCGCCCAGGTGATGTGCAAGAGGAGGGGGAGGTGGAGGTGGGGGTGGGGGCGGGGGAAGGGGAGGAGGAAGTGGGGCATCTGGGCTTGGAGATGTATGGATGAGGCCGACCTTCCTCTTCAACCGTCGGCACACGGTCTCCCTGCTCGCCCACACCGTCGAGGGAAAGAGGAGAGAGGGGAGAGATCGAGTCGAGAGGCGGTCCAGGCAAGGCAGGGACGCCCGAACGCGAGAGAAGGAGGTGGTGGTGCCGGCCGGGCTAGGCTGGCGGCGGCAGCAAAACCTAGCGTCGTGGCGCTCGGAAGGAGAAGGAGAAGAGAGATGGGATGACGGGAGGGTGGATACGGGCTTTGGGGGTCACGGAGCAGTCAACCGAGTGAATTACTGACTGACAGATGGGGACCCAGCCACGATTAACCACAACGCTCCAATTCCTGAGAGTTTAAAGCAACTCCAACGGAGCGACCCAAACGAATACGGATTTTGTCCGTTTTTTGTCCGTTTGGGTATCATGTCGGACATGAGGCGGACACTGCAGGCATCCAACGCAAGAATCTAAAAGCGAACAGAGCGGACAACAGCTACACCGGCGCCCCGCCTCCTCCGTGCCGGCGCCGTCTCCCTGGCGATCCGCGGGGGCTCCAACTCCTCCTCACCGACCACAGCGAGGTCCTCGAGGCACGAGCTTGCCGAGCTCCTCCTCGCCCGCCTGTCCAACGACCCCGACGGCAAGGGCGCCGTCTCCTCGACAACCCGCTCCTTCTCTTCCTTGATGGGGACCTCGCAGCACGAGCTCGCCGAGCGCGGCGATGGGGAGATCGTGGCCTTCGACGCCGCGACGGCCGCCTCGTAGTCCCCGCTAAGCTGCAGGAGCAGGGCGGCGGCCGCCAGCTCCGCGGCCGTGAAGAGGCCCCGGAGCCAGCCGAGCTCCCACTCCAGCCTGCAGCGGACGGCGAGCGACGACATGGATGGACGGAGCAGCGACCGATCGGTTGCTACGCTTGGCCCGGTGGCGAGAGGAGGCCGAGGAGTAGGATTGAGATGGAAGGGGATATCTTTTTTCTTGTCTGGAAATGTGTGGATGCGGATGAGATGAAACGGGATGAAGGCGTGGGTTGCACGGGCGGCTTTAGCGGGGAGCCGGCTCGGTCGGTGCGTGGGCGGGGCACTGCTAGGTAGGACCAGGAGCGGACACAAGCGGACGACAGCGGTCGACGAGAGCGTCCGCTTTTGTCCGCTTCGTACCCAATTTTTCCTATATTTGGGCCAAGTTTGGGCCGGGGAGGACAGCAGGCAGACACCATCGTCCGTTTGGGTCATCCCGTTGGGTCAAGTTTTGTGTCCGGGTGACCCAGACGGATAAAATGGATCTCTCCCTTGGAGTTGCTCTTAGTAACTGTACTGATACTTTTTTTTGAAACGGACAAAAAAGCTTTTGCCTTATATTGATATAGGAGAAGCAAATGGGGGTATTGCAAGAGCCAAAAAACAAAAAAAAACGAGGAAGGGGGCGAACACTGCCCCCCACAGCCTACAAGTTCCGCCAGCTTTTTAGCACCGGCGAGGATCCAGTCCTTCCCCTCTTCCCTAATCTTATTCATGACAACCGATGGCAGGGAGGACTTATTGTTGAAAACTTGTTCGTTCCTCTCTTTCCAGATCTCCCAAGTGATGAGCGTGATAGCTGAGCGCAAGCCTATTGGGGAGGAGGTGGTGG